TTAGGAGAAAAGATATTTGTACAAAGGGAATAGATTAAGAGTGAAAATAAATTATGGCTAAAATATAAAATAATTATAAAACAGCAGATCTCTACACATAAAGGCAACATCAGTGGGAGTTATTTCTAAAAGGTGAGAATATGTTCCATTCCACTTGATGGCATTACTCTTTACATTAATGCTTTTCAAAGAAAAGGATCTGTTTTACTCTACAAAAAAACCTCGAGTACTACCTGAAAATTACTCATAGTATTAGTCAATCATTTCATATATTTTGTCTTCAATTAACAGTAAAATATGTTGAAAGTTAAAAACATCTTATATGTCACTAGCTCAAAATGACCAATATCTTGGAATAAACTATAAACAGTCAGGGTTGTCAAATGTGAAGACATTTTGCTCACTATTAAAGAGAATGTATGAGTTTCAAGCAATTAAAAAAGGAAAGTGAGCATAACAAACATGCCAAAAGATTATGCAATATAAATGTTAAGAGCAAAGATGGTGGCACTTAAATACTTTACGTGTGATGTTACCCTGAAATTACTCTCATTAAAAAACACACATAAAAAGTACACAATCATATTTAACATTCAAGGTCATACCATTTAAATTATTTACATATACCAAAAACAACAGTAGTAATCCCCATAAACTATGCCCAAAGATAACTCTCATTAAACTTACTCCAAAATATTAAAGATATTTTATTATAAAATAACTAACTGATCAAATTGTTGAAACAATTTTATTGTTTACTGGTCAACAAAATATATCCTTAAATTTCTATGGAGGAAAGTCAATCTTTACCGGAGAAAATTTGACAAAATTTGGTTTTACTTTTCCAAATAAAAAGAAGCACTCTATGATAACAGCCTGAAATCAGTCGAAAGGAAGCATGACTCCTAATAAATGTGGATCTACTCTCCTTTGAAGGCATCTCTGAAAGGAGCAATAGGAGGGAAAGCAATGTATATCTTTTCTCAAACTGAATTTCAAAGGCCTTATTTGGCCCTTCTTCCACACGGAAAGAATTAGAAAACTTTTTGCCTTTTATTTTCCATTGTGTTATCCTAAATGGGAAAATAAATCCAGTCGATGTAGGTTTCCATGTGGGATTAGGTGCAGTAGCAGACATAGTGCAGGGAATGTAGGACATAATGGTCTATATAACTGGCTGCTGTGCACTTTACGATGTAGGTTTCCATGTGGGATTAGGTGCAGTAGCAGACATAGTGCAGGGAATGTAGGACATAATGGTCTATATAACTGGCTGCTGTGCACTTTTACTGGCAAACTTTAAAAAGAGAAAGAAAGAAAAACCTTTAGCACTTCAGCATAAATCTCAAATTCACACAAGAAAATTCCCTCAACTGTGTGTGCAGCATTAATGAGATTATCAAACAGAATTGTTAATTTAGAATTAAATACTTTGGTAAGGAAAGGTTTATTATTATAAACTAAAAAGTCATTATATATACAAAATAATTGGGTGTGACAATAAATGGCATTTTTCATATATGATTCATCACTGTGTGGATTAAAAGCAGCTAAAATGAATAAGGGAGTCCACTGAATTTAATTAAATGACTTACAAAATTGGTTTTAAAGACATTTAAATAATGTAGAAAAATTACGATATATCTACCTTTTCCAGTATATCTTAAAATCTGAGTAGTTCACCTTCTTTTAAAATTATGACAACTGTAATGTAAAAACAGCCAAACAAGTAAATAAAAATTGAGTGAACAATGCAATTTTATCTGGTGCATTTTTTATCAATATTTTTGTCATTCAAATGTCTCCTTTTCTTTGCAAAATCTGCCCTAGCTCAACTGATTATGTACTTTTGTATAATACCCAATGTTTGAATGAATCCTCAAAAATCAATTATCTCATTAATATTTTAAAAGTACAAGTGCTAAACAAATCATGTTTAAGTTTTTCAGCTATGCTAGGTTATCAGCTCCCTAGAGATAAAACTACTCAGCCAAGAGTTTCTAAATATTTCTCCAGCAAGTGAAGTCTCTAGTAAAACCCAAGACATAAAGGCACTATATTTAAGATTCTGAAAATTTCACTTTGCTTACAATGACAATAAAAATAAACCTATTATTTAACAAGGGAAAGAATGTTTTCAACAGGGAATAGTATATATGAATCACCATATATAGAAAATACAGGAGGATTATAATTTCCACAAAAGCTAAAAGAAGAAATTATTTTTCTGTTTCGGTCAACAGTGATTCAGGAGGTGAATCAAGTTCCTGTGGGAGCTTGGTGGACACCATTGCAAGCATCAATCTCAGTGAAACCCAGAACCGAGGGTTAATATGACAGAATGTATGTTATCCATTGTGTTATCCTAAATGGGAAAATAAATCCAGGCGATGTAGGTTTCCATGTGGGATTAGGTGCAGTAGCAGACATAGTGCAGGGAATGTAGGACATAATGGTCTATATAACTGGCTGCTGTGCACTTTACGATGTAGGTTTCCATGTGGGATTAGGTGCAGTAGCAGACATAGTGCAGGGAATGTAGGACATAATGGTCTATATAACTGGCTGCTGTGCACTTTTACTGGCAAACTTTAAAAAGAGAAAGAAAGAAAAACCTGGTTAATATGACAGAATTGTATGGCAGAATGAAAAGAGATTTTTCTAGTAAATATATCGCTTCAGATGTGTATTCCATGAGTTCTAAAATCAATAATCTTCTAAATAAAATATAAAATGTAAGTTGACTGATCAGAGATTATCTTGGATCAAATCATGGCAGGATTTAAATGACATCTAGTCAGGACTCCAAATTACATAGGATACCATATCATATGGTCATTTTGGCCTCTTCATGAACACCCACAATGATGGGGCCCTCATAAATTTGGAATACAGTCTACAGATTTTTGGAGAGCTCTGTTAGAAAGCTCATCTTCAGGATGAAGGTAAAGATGCTTCATCCTTTAATAATTTCCATAGATACATCTCAGTTTTGCTCTACAGAGTATCACAGGATAGTCAGAATCCCTTCTCTTTACTTAGCTTCTTTATGCTGTCACTTTTTCAAGTCTTTACACTGGATTTTATAGACTATATCTACAATACCCAATAATCTTTCTTTTCTGAACACATTCTTGCTGCTAGAGTTACTTTGCTAAGGTCCATCTCAAAATGCAGTGCTCAGAATGAATACAATACTAAAATGTGGTCAAAACTGCAAACTGTAATAGGACAATCACTTCCTTAATTAGGACACTATAACTAATCCAATCTAACAATGCATTAACTTTTGCAGACACTTTCCACTACAAATACCAAGCTTGTTGTCAACAAAACCATTGTCATTATTGTGCAGTGAATTTCTGGGATTCAAAACTGGAGGTTTACATTTATATCTATTGCTAAAACATAGTATCATGATATCAAATATGTTAACATGAATCCCTACATTTGAGTGTAATTCACATTCTTCAGATTCATACCTAATTCACATTCTTCAGATTCATACCTTATTGGCCTTGCCACCTAACTCATATTCTTCAGTTTCTTACATTACTGAGCTGTGTTGACCTCCAAGTCAGTGTTTATAGCAGCCTATCTTAAGTCATCAGCTATTAGTACTCAAGAATTTGCAATGAAAACATTTTCTTGTATGGCAAATTACATTTAAGAAATTTAGCGGAAGACTTATTTTTTCACTTTACTTTTAAAGATGGTTTTTATAGAGACCATCTCCCTAAGAGTGCTTTTTCATGGTCGTACAGTAAAATTAAATGGTTCTTCAAAATGCAGGCAATGACATGCTCATTTCATCTCTGAGGCAGGACAAATAATGTAACATAAGCAACAAACCTTTAGATTGATATGAATATGCACATATCCATAGAAAACGCACATGAAGTTCATTTGTGCTACAAAACCTATGCGATCGCATGTGGGAAACAAGGATACACTACTTTATTCTAGTTAAAATTTTTCTCTTTCCAAACTTTATCTCTCTCTTTACTCCTTCAGGCCCATAATTTTCTCTCAAGCAAAAACAGAGTTGGCGAGAGTTCTTCAAGGTCCCAGTGTCCCTAAGTCCCCATCACAGCCTGCAACTGCGGCTGAGGACGCCTGAGCTGTATGTAACCTGCAGGCTTTTCCATCCAATTCCTTAGAAACACACCCCTCAAACGCGAAGCCAGAGGAGAGTCCAACCACAGAGAACTTTCACTTAACCTAGGCAACCCCCGAGTAAACTGCATTCCGGTAACCACCTCTCCTCCCGAGCCCCCAACGCAGGAACCCGCTCGCCGCTGCGCGCCGCCTTCCAGCCGTCTCGCGGGCCCGCGCGGGGTGAGCCCCCGGGTTAGTCAGTGCGCACGTGACGCGCGGTGCCCACATGACGCGACCGTGGACGGGGGAGGGGGCAGGGGTGAGCCGGGGGGAAAGTTAAGGAAGAACCGTCCGACCGTGCAAAGACGTCTGCCCCTTCCCTGCTTCGTCAGCGAGTGGCTCAGGGAGCCCTCGGGGATGGCTACGGACCTTGGCGTCCCCAGTCCAGCTCCGAAACGGGGGGCGCAGTTCTTCCCTCGCCCCGCTACCCCGGCTGCTCCCCGCCTGGCTGGTGATGCCGCTTCACTCTCAAGTTGTTCCTTCCTTCCTCTATCCCTTCCTTCTTTTCGTTCCCTAAAAGCTCTTCATCCACTGCGGGCGACGCTACTGACGCACATTCAATTTGTCCCGGGAGCTCTCGGGCACCTCTGAGGTCACACAAGGCCGAACACCTTCCGAAGGCGAGGGTACAACTGCGCAAAGTTGCACACCACACCGCAACCTGCCCCCCACCCCACGAAGCCCCCCCATGCGGATGCCCTGCAAGGCATGGTGCTCTGCCGGTACTCTCTCCATCTTGCCCCCCACCGCGCAACACACCCCCTTTCGCACGCGAGCCCACCCTTCCAGTGCCCTCCGCTTCCAGCCGCCCGGCAAAGCTCCGAGAAAGCCGTTGCGCTCACCTTGCTTGACACACTTGAGCCGGAGGGGGTCCTTGCAGTGTTTGATCACGGCCAGCACGTCCCTGATGGTGAGCCCCGCCACGGGGGTCTCGTTCACTTCCAGCAGCAGCTCCTCCGACACCAACTTGCTGCCGCTCTCATAGGCAACCTTGCCGGGCTTCACCTCCCCCAGGTAGGGGAACTGTCCATTCTCGGCGCCCCCCTTCAGTTCAAAGCCCAGCTGGCCCTCCGGGTTCCTGCCAATGACACTCTCATGGACTTTGCTAGTCCAGTGGCTTTTCTTTTTCAAGCTTTTGGACATGGCAGTGGGGCGAGTCGCCGCAGCTCCCGAGGGGTTCCTTTGGGGCAGGAGAATTGGCGGGTGAGAGAATGAAGATGAGGAGCGAGGGGGCCAAAAGGTGAGAAGAGCCGGCTTTGCCTTCCACCCCCCTCTCCGCGGTGCTTTCCCTCTTCTCTGGATGGAGTGTGGACGAGGACGGGGGAGGATGAGAGGGACGCTGGGCAGAGGTAGGAGAGCTCGGGTGAGGTTGTTCTGTCCCTTGAATGACACTCAAGGCTGGGGCCCCGCAGCGGAGGAGAGCCGTGGCGGCGGCGGCGGCAGCCCGAGCGCGGTGGCCGAGCGGGTGAGCGGCTGGGTGGGGGTGGGGAAGAAGGGCTAGGGATGCCGGGGGCCACTCCCGCGTGCTGCAAGTGGGAGCGCGCGCCTGGCTGTGTGTTGTTAGCTGATATCCATGGTAGCCGCAGCGACAGGGTCCGTGCTCGTGCGAGTGTATGTGTGTGTGTGTGTGTGCGTACTACTTGTACAGTACTGGCAGCAGGGGAGGTGGCTGAAGAGGAGGGCGCCGGCTGGAGGGGAGGAGGGGCGCGCGCGCGCCGGTGGGGGAGCCGCTCGCCGCCGTCTCGGCTCCCTCCCTCCGCAGCTTGACCCGGTAGTGAAGGCGGAGAGAGAGGCAGGCTGGGTCCGCCTGGCAGCCTGCGAGAGGAGGCGGGAGTGGGAAAGGAGGGGAACCGAGGCCCGGCGTGGGGCTGTGAGCCCAGTGAGGACCTTTCTTCAGCCTGTGCGCGGCCGAGCGGTGTGCCGGGATATCCCGAGCGTTTGAGGGCGCCCGGAGTTCCTCAGACCGGGGCTCGGCTCAAGCAGAAATAGCGAGACCCGGGCGCGTTGCGTGCCCCAGTGCCCGGGGCTGCGGCTCGAGCGCGGCGAGGCTCCAGGCACGAGATCCTGCCGTGAGGACGCCGGGCGGGCGGCCGGGACCCGGCGTGGACTGCGGGAGCAGGCCGGGAGCCGGGGGAGGCGTAGGAGTTCGCTATGTAGAGCGGCTTTGTCTCCACGTTTCAGTCAAACTCCCTGCGGAGTTCTCAGAATTCCCCCTGCGAGGAGCGGAAAGTTAGAAAACTGCAGGCTGGGCGCGCTGCCAGAGAGGGAGGCGGGCGAAGCCGCAGCACAGGCCCGGGGCAGGCCCAGCGCGCGTCAGGCCGGGCGCACTTCGCGGAGGGGCGGAGTTGTGAAAAGCAATCCCGCGGCGGCGGGGAAGGGTCTTCGCTTTTTGTTGGGAAAAACGGAAATACCGGGGCTTTAGGGTAAGGGGCGGGGGCGGTTGCAGTGAGCAGCCTCCTCTGGGCCAAAACCAGAGAACTGCGGCCGAGACGGCCGGGCCACGCCCTCGCCCCGGAGAGCCCTCAGACCCGGCTGCTACCCCGGGAAGGAACCTTAAGATGACCCGACCCGAGAGCCACCTGCTGTAGAGAAAGAAAAGAAGGCTCCCACGGTGAACGTGGCGGCAGAATCGAGGCAGAACCCAGCTCGCTGGCCCACAACCAGGCCCCCTTCCCTTCACCAAGATTGCAGCCGGGAAGAGGTGAGGACGGGCTCAAGGAGGAAGGAGGGCTGCTGACTTTCAACCTCTAATGCCTTGTAAGATGTTAAGAGTGATTTTAAAAATTGCTGTAACTGGTAAATGAATTTCACTTGCTTTACTTTCAAATGATACGTTCAAGAAAGGGAAAAGTCGCACACCCACTCATGTCTTTAAAGCAAAGTCTGAGAGGCACTGAGCAGTTAAGATTCTTGATGTCTGAGATGAAGATAGTGTGGGAGGCAAGCCGTACAGTAAAAATTGTTTAGTCGGCGCAAATAAGCCAGCTTTGAATTCAGGCTCTGCTACCAAGAGTGTGGTTTTGAGTAAATTGCTTAACCTATCCGGGCCTCAGTTTCCTTATTTGTTAAATAGAGTTAAAAGTACTAATCTGATAGGACTAGATGAGGGTGAAATCAGGTAAGGTATGCAAAGTGCTTCCTGGCACATGTGGGTAGACACTGAAAAATGGTAATTTCCTTCCTCTTTCCTTCTCAAGTGTAACTCATTACTTGGGGAAGAGGGTTATCAAATTTAGTCAGACCTGGAAAAGAGTTTTTTAAAGAAAGATGGTTTGTTTAACCATGTGTCTTTTTTCCCTTAAAAAGATGGAACCCCATTGAGTTGGCTGTCACTGATGAGGATTATGCAGTGAGCCAGGGTCAGGGCTACCATCTGAACCCAGAGCTTCAGGCAAGGCCCAGGAGTGGGCAAGACTTCTTGTACCATAGCCCAGTCTCACCCAAAGAAGCTGGGTTTTAGCATTATGAGACACAGCCCTAAGTGGAAATCGATAATGAGAGCTGAATATGTATTTTTAAACACCAATTACAAACTACATGCATAGATAATACTAATATTTATCAAATTCTAACTATATTCCAAATGTTCTGTAAGCTTTGCATATATTAATTTATTTTCTGATATCTTAATAAAGTAGGTACTATATCATCCCCTTATATAGTTAAGGAAACTGAGCATTCAGTGAATTAACTTTGGCAAGACCACAAATTTAAGTCTATGGTGAAACTAATACTCAGACCCACATGTTTGGCACCAGACTTGTTTTCAATCACTGCACTGTACTCTCTCCTCATGCACTTATGTGTCATACCAGCAATCAGGACAGTGTCCCCGGAAGTTGGGTCTGCATTTATTGTAGGGGTAGTTAGGGAAAAGGAAACAAATGGAGCTGGAGTTTAGTATAAAAGCATTCACCCTTGAGAACCCTAGAGAGTTATTGAGGTGGGTTCCAGCTAATGTAGTGCTTCTCAGCTCCTAATTCATCTTCTTTGCTCTGAGTTGTGATATCAGAGCTTAGACCTGGCAATAGATCTTTGCTGTCTGTTAGGATTTGTCAGTAGAAGGTGCTGGAAGGTCAGTTGCATTAAAAAGGAGGGCCTCTTCCTGGTTCCAGTGTTTTTCTTCTCACTCCTATGGTATAGTGTGTCTTGCATGAGGGTTTCAGCCCCCTGGCAAGTTCACTGTGGATTCGGTGCCACAACAGATGGTTCTTCAGGTAAAAGGGTTTATACCAGCTTTTTTCTCACAGAGGTAGGTTAAGCACTGGAATAACATCTGCATCCAGCAGTCTGCAAGTCCATATTCCACCTCTGTCTCTGCCTCCACATAGAGCACTGAGTGGAGGTGTTTATATAGTAACTCAGGCAATAATAGCTTATTGCCTACAAGTATGGAAGCGGTAGCCTAGCAGTAGGCCAATTACATCATCAAGCAGTTTAGGGTCAGGTGATAATCCTGGCCATAGATATTTCAGTTTTCCCTACAGTGGGTGGCTCTCTGGCCAGTGGTGTGCAAGAGATAAGTATTTCACACTTTCTGTTAAGTGTGCTGGCTCCCAGTATGTGGCTTCCCAATGAGCCTTACTGGCATCCCAGTGTGTGGCTTCCTAGCAAGTTTAACAAGCACCCCAGTTGTTGGTTTCCTCACAGTCCTGTCTGTGACACCTCAATGAATTTCTTGGCCATTAGGTAGGCCACAGCCACATTATCTCCAGTAAGTTCTGTCTCTCAGGCTTTTAGGGTAGAGGGCAGGGATGGGGATGGTTCTAAGTTATTTCCTCCATGGATACTGTCCCACAGCCCTGGAGGTACTGGCTATTCCCTAAATCCACTATTCCTGTATGCTTTAGTGATCTCTTATTCTCTCTTAGTATTCACTACCCTTTTACTAGTTTTTAATTCTTTATATTAAAAATGTCCTCATTCCAGTTATAGTGTGATTTCTGGACCTTGACTGATAAAAGGTGTAAAGGGATAATGTAGAACCCTGAGGGGTCACTATCTTGGGAGTCAGAAGTTGGGATCCTGCCTTTAGCTGTGTAACCTCGACTAAGTCACTTAAACTCTGAGAGCTTGTTCTTCTCTCATCTGTAAAAAAGGGGGTGATAATATACATAACAAGGTTGTGTGAGCATCTGTAAAATTTGAATGTACTTTAAATGTATTTTAATGTGAATGAATTTTGAAACTATAAAGTGCTATCAAAATTTAAGGTGTTGATTGTCAGTATAGGAACAGAGGGTAGTGAAGAGGAGGGGGATAATTTCTTTAAGCAAAAAATTATATGTGTTTTGGGTCTTTTTAGATTATTTCCTAGGAATGAAAAAACAGCATTTCCTGTCAGATTTATCATCATCCAATAGGCATATTACTTGTTGGTTGGTTGGTTGACTAACTTTTCAGAGATGAAAGCAAATAGTTGTGGTTCTCAAGTTTTTTAAATTTCCGGCTTATGAAAAATAGGACTGAAATTATTACCATTTTAAAATTGACACTGATTTGATTACTCTCTGTTCTGGTATCCTTCACATTTCCTTTACTTCTGTTTGTTTCCTTCACCCTTTCTGGGTTTGATGCCTATGTCAAGAAAGAATTATTTCATTGCTGAGCCCTCTATATGCAGAACATGGCACTAGATATTGCATGCTATTTCAAAAGAAAAATAGTTTAGGAATCTAAAAAGCTAAAGAAAGAAAAGCATTCTGATCACCTTGTTCAAGGCATATTGTAAATACTCAGCAGAATTCTGCCAAATGATAGGTATGTACAAAATGATAGTGTATAAAATTCCATTATATGGCCACCACCTTAGTATCAGTTTGTATCTTTAGTATTAAATGATCATCTCTTAATACCCATACTAATATCTTAAGAGAATGGAATAGAGAAGAGCACATATTGATGAAGAAAAGACAAACTACACTTAACCTTGGGGCTAAAGTTAAGGAAAGAAGCCAGATTCTTCAAGAGCATGGGACAGGGTCTGAGAGGTGGTAGTGGTGATGATGGTAGTGGTGGACTATAAACTTGTCCTGTCTACAGCCATTCTTAGTGTTAAACCTTTCACTTCTGATACAGAATTCACACAAAAATGCTAATCCATATGTATAAGGTAGATTTATTTAGCATAACATAGAGCTTCTCAGGCTTTTCTATCAAAACGTATCTAACGATGATATACTCACCCACACCCAGGAAGAGTAATCTTATTTGAAGTCTCCAGTTTTCAGCTAAAAATTCATATGGATTTCAGATTTTACTCTGTAATAGCTTCATATTATATGGATATAAAATATGACCTTTCCCCAAAACTCAGGCAAATGATTTTCCAAAAGGATTTGCCATGTTTATCTGATGGTTTCTTGGCCCGGCCAGATGATTCCCTGGGTGTTCACAGCTTAAATCCGGTGACTGGAAACACAAACTCAAGTTCTGTAGAGAGTTTGGGCTGCAGAGGTAGACAAGGGGAAAGATGTGCACTTGGAAAATAAAAAGAGTAATATGAAAAAACTCTTAACTCTTTGGCTTTACCCAGTAAAGTATAAAACATACAAAGAGAAAAACACTGAACTCTGGTTTACAACATCTTTTACTAAGCAGAGAGGAAAGGGAAGATCAGTGAAGGAGGCTGTATTCCCAGGTAAGAGTCTAGTGCTGAGAAATGTGGCCTCTTGAAGTTAGTGAGGGGTAGGTTTATGGGCTTAGAATCCTCCAAACACATGCACAGAACTGCATATTTCATTTGGTATCTCATCAAATTACATTGTCCTGTTCATTCTCTGTACCTCAAATATTTTGGTGATTGTAACTCTTAGATTTATATCAATTAAATTTGCATGGAAAGGCCAGAAGTGTTTCATTTTGATCTAGAATTAACATTCATTGATGGTACTTCTGCATTTCATTGAACCATCTTATTATTTTGTAATATTGGTGTCAGTATTGGGTGGGAATATATGCTTCAATTTCTCCACAACTCAGGAACTTACTCTCAAACAGCATTGTCAATTAGTCACCTAACCCTGTGGAAAAAATCTGGGGATGGGCAAAATTTGACTACTTAAATCTGTGAGAATATTAGAGCATCTTAGTTGCTAGAAAGTTCTGAAGAATGTGACTTTCGTCCTTAAAAGCACCTCTTTGTGTGAAATTCATGGACCATGAAGTACATACAAAGTCAGGAAAGAGAACTGCAAAATCGTTTAAATCATTGCTGTGTCTTAATGACAGAGTTACCCTGTAGAGAAATCTGACTACCTCAAGAAAAGAAAGCATGAACATATTTTTTTGTTCTTCTGTGACTGTAAAGTCATTGCAATATTTTATGTAAACAGTAATGGGTACTTTAATAAGAACTCTCGATGCTTTTGTTACCTTATTTGACATATGCACAAAATACAACAGGGTAATATTGTATAAGGATCTGGAACATATATTCCTTATGCATTGTTAAGCAGTCATACTTCTTGAATTCAAAACCTGAATTTATCTTTCTTTTTTATTGTTTTACTTTTTACTTACCTGGTACTTGTCAATCTTTTATCATTCATTTACATTCTACTAAACTCAAAAAGATATTCTCACAGCTTTTATACTTTAGGCTTTACTTAGCCAGATTTTTTTAAACACTTCAGAAATTCAGGTACTTCAATTTTATGTCATCAAATAGTTAATAGCTAGCCCACACCCCTCTTTTTTAAA